TAGATTTTATTTTCGCAGGGCTATTTTTTATAGGAAGATCCATTTAGAGAAACACGTAACTGTAACCAGCTTTGAGCATCTAAACCAAAAATCCAAGTCGGGCCGTTGCATGACCAACAGATCTCTGCAAAATTCGCTCACCGAACGATGCTGAGTTTAAATTGACAAGAAAAAAGAATAGCTTCGAGAAAAGACTCAAAGTGTCAGGGATTCTTAAGAAGTAAGAAGACCCATATACATTTCAAAAAGGAAGGTTTCCTCCAGTTGAACTGGCAGATACCTACCCTCCCCCCTCTACTTGAAATAATCCCCCCGACCTCCCATATTATGGGTGGATATAGGTCGCGTCATTTCTTAACCCTATTAAGACTTGAAATTTTAACAAATGAGCTATCCAGCTCTGATATCCCGATGATACCTGCGGCCTAATCTTTCATGGTCTCTTTGCTCTGTATCATCTTAACGTAATAGTAAAAGTAGCCCAGTTAATCCAGCGTCAAATTCCGCCTTCTGCTATTCGCGCATCTGGTAAAGCTCGGCCCATCAATTAAATGACAAGAGGAACTCCATGCGGTATTTCGCACGGTGGTTAGATATTAGAAGTTACTGCAACAGCTTTGCCTCTGACTGCGTAGGCGGCGATAATTGAACTGCACAAACGGTCCTGTGAGCGCAGGAAAACGCCGTTTAGATAGCGGCTGCCACCACACAGTTAAAAGGGGGAGGGCTCATTGCGCCCGATAAAGTTGCCTCCAAACTATCCTGTCTGTCGCTCTTCCATTTTACCCCATTGCCCTCTCAGCTGCAATACGGCCGTAGAGGTGTAGCGGCCTAAACAGAACTTACTAAATCTAGGATGTTTGTTGACTCGTCACCTAGGGTTGTTAAAAGATTTGTTCGATTATTTATTTTATTATAAATTCACGTTAGTGGCACGGTTATGGAACGGTAGCGACATCCAGCTTTTATACTATAAACTGAAACCGTTAAATTTACATCAAATGTGTAAGTACATTCTGCGACGGAAATATTTACGTGACCACACACATGAACTTACCTGTCTGCGGGCTCTCTAAGCTGTCATTTGTCAAACAGCTTAGTCCCCTTCTGCCAACTTTTTAGATTCAGGTCAGAGTGTGAACAACA